TTGGACTATTAAAACAGTCAGACAATAAGTGCTGCTTTAATTAAATTGTTCAAAACAAACTGGGAGTTTGTTTGGTTCATCTCTACCTGAATACGCCAGAGCCCTGGCATCGTGACACTATGATCTGGAAGCAGAACCACAAAAACAATATGTTTCAGTGAGGTGGGAATGTTACTTCAATCAGTCTTACCTCCATTAGTCAAACTGCAGAAAAGAAAATAGGCATCTGTAGCTCACATTATTTTTCTTCTTTTTGTTATTGTTGTTGTTGTTGTTGTGCCATGAGTGTTCCTTCTCCTCCCGCTGTTACATAAAATGTAGGTCTCCGTCCCTTCCACAGTACACATTTTAACTGCCATGATTCCATTCTATGAAATCCTGAGATGTTTAGTTTACAGAAAGTCAGAGATTCCTAGTGCCTTCCCAGTCTACAAAGCCCAATTTCTTCCAGTCTAAATTCATGTAATGATGGATTTATAATGAACAACCAGTGAGCACAGTGAAAAGGAAACTGAACCATGGCTGAAGGAACTAACTAGGAGGGAATGGGTTTTTAACCCCCCACTAGATGACCTTTGGCTTGATCAGTTTTCTCCATCTCAGCCTGTTTTCCCATTTCTAAAGAAGGAACAAGTGACCTTCCATTACAGTCTAATTAAGGAGATGGATGAAATCAGAAAATGTTGTGAAGTACTCCAAGCAAAGAGAGCAGGGCTTATGCTGTATACAGCAGCTCCCTGCTTTGGAAATTGAGTTGTCAAACAACATGTCAAGGAGGTCGGAGCCAATACAGAGTGCAGACAGCATAGTCATGTGTGCTTAAAACATCATTCTTCATTACATCAAAATAGCTTCCGAAACACAGTTTACATTTGGATACCTTAATTTGAAACCTCAACATATGTTCACCAATGCCTCCCCCCAAAGCATTGTGCCAAAATCAGCATATGGTAACATAACCACATTGTTTAAAAACAGCCATGTAAAAAAGCCATTTGAAACAAGGAGATGGGAAAGATAACCGTTTGGCTAGATAACTGGTTCTGATTAAATTCAGGTAAAGTTTCTGCCCTCAAAACAATACTGATCAGAAAACGGTTACCCAAAATAATTCCTCCCCCATCAAATATCTCTCCCCCTTCCTTTTTCTTCATCAGGGATCCATTTTATCACACCAGCCTCCTGTCTTCTCATTTTGTGTTTGTGTGTCAGGAGCGACTTGAGAAACTGCAAGTTGCTTCTGGTGTGAGAGAATTGGCCATCTTCAAGGACATTGTCCAGGGGACGCCCGGATGTTTTACCATCCTGTGGAAGGCTTCTGTAATGTCCCCACATGAGAAGCTGGATTTGAACTGGATTTGAACCACCGCCCTTTCGGTCAGCAGTCCAGCTGGAACAAGGATTTAACCTATTGTGCCACCAGAGGCTCCTTGTCTTCTCTTGAACACACTGTTCAACCAAACAGAATAATATTGCCAGTTGGAACTATCTCTTTCACAACTTTGCATGTCTGATGCTGGGATGCTGTTGATGTGAACTCCTACAATGAGTCTTCTATAAAAACTCACTTCTTATCCCAGTGTGCCTACTCAGCATATAGATTTTCCCAATCTTTTTTTTCCCCTAATTTATTCCTAATTTGCCACAACTGACATTCAACTGTATGACAAGATCTTCATCCACTACACAATACTGGGACTGCAGCAGAAGGAAAATTTCACATGAGGAAGAGTGGTGGAACAACTGCAATATTGGATTCATTGACAGTTTTTTTCCAATCGATGACAAGAGGCTATCCAATCACAAATGAAGTGGGATGAAACTACAAGACAGTCCCGATGTCTTGCAGTAAGCCCCAGCAACAGACACTTTTCTCCTGCCAAAATTTTGATTCTGCATGTTGGATTTCATCCCTGGATTGTACTAGTCTCTTGTGTCATCAAGTTTCCAGTCCTCAATGAGTAGCTAAGCTAAAGACAGGGCTAAGCTGGGGGTGCCTCCCCCTGCATTCCTATGCATGTTTCCCAAAAGGGCTTTGTCTTTGCTCTCCCTGCTAGCCACTGTCTCTTCCCCTTTGATGACATAGTAATGGAACTCTGTAAGGGAACTTCCTCTTTAAGTTTGAAACTGCCCTGGGCTGACCATGTGGTCTCCACCATTTTCAGACTTCTGCCGTTTCTTCCTTCCAGCAAGGACACATTTTGCCTCTCTTTAGGCAAAAAGTAGCTACATTGATTTTTTTTATCCTTTCCCTCATTTAGAAGATGAGATTTAGTAAGCTAGTTAGCGCCAAGACCTGTTCTATCAAGAATGTATTTCTTTTACTTCAATAAATATTTTTGAACCTAAAGTTCCAACTTTGCAATCCTAAATCATCCTAAGGAATAGAATCCTATTTATTCCAGCTCACCACATGTAAGTTTCTGCTGGTTATGAAGTTTTCTTCTGGTACTCTGCTATCTTTATGGTGGAATCACTCCAACTGAGGGTTATTTTTGAGCCTAACAGCTCAAATTCCCCAACACCACAGCCTCGTATGAGATATCCTAACTCTACTGCTAGATCTGTGATTTGCAATGGATCAGCAAGAATTTCACACTCCCGACTGTTAGAGAACAGTACTGGCAAAATAACTCTCGCCAGTCCCCACCTGAAATGAAGATATCTTATGGTGACCAAGAACTGATTAAGAAGAGACTTGGTACTCAAGTCAGAAGTCCTCCACTCAAAATTCTTTCATTCTAAGTGCATACATTTTCTGCTAGAGGAGCAGATCTCTTGACACTGTTCTAAGAAATAAAAGAAGAATCTGCTCTCAAGCCTGAATTCTGCCCCTGCTCTCACTTCAAAGCAAGACTAGAGTACTGCGATATGCCTACCAAAAACCCACGTCCTCCTGCTTAGTTGGGAGAAAAATGGTCTTGTCAAGCTTGGACAAATGAGTGTGTTTTCACAATCTGTTTTCTAATTATACTGAAAAGATGAAGAAGGTGGGGAAGCAGAACATTTCAGAACAACGAGAGCATTTAAATGAAATCTGACATGATACGAAGTTTGCAAATTGGCCCTTGACGTTCAAAAGAGGAAAGAAAAATAAGAATTTAGCACGTGTATCTTTTCATATACAAATTGTGTATATATTATTGGAAATGTTTGGGAATAAACAAAATGGAAGAGGCCCCAAGAGCCATCCAGTCAACACACACGCACACACCTTGCCATGCAGATGCACACACTCATCGGCAAATTGACCTTGCCTGAGAAATTACAGATCAATCCATTATGTTTGGGATTTATTTTTAGTTTATTTGAAATTTGAGAGATATCTTGGAAAGGGAACCCCAATCTAAACATGAAATTCATTGGGATTTCATAGGAGCCCCTGGTGAGACAATGAGTTAAACCCTTGTGCCAGCAGGACTGATGAACGATAGATCAGCAGCTCGAATCCGGGGAGAGTGGATGAGCTCCCTCTGTCAGCTCCAGCTTCCCATGCAGGGACATGAGAGAAGCCTCCCACAGGATGGTAAAAACATCAAACATCAGAGCATCCCCTGGGCAACGTCCTTGCAGACAGCCAATTCTCTCACAAGAAGCAAAGGTGTCTCAGCCATACATCAAGAAGCAAAGGTGTCTCAGCCATACATTAATAGGCAGTAACAGTTCCACTCTATTCTGCTTTGGTCAGACCTCCCCTGGAATACTGTGTCCAGTTCACAATTCAAGGATATTGACAAATGGTGAAAGATCAGGAAACCAAGCCCCAAGGGGAGTGTCTTAAGGAATGCATGTTTAGTTTGGAGAAGAGAACATTTAAGAAGCGACATGATAGCCATGTTTAAATTTTTGAAAGGATGTCACATTGAGGAGGGGGAAAGTTTGTGTTTTGCTGCTCAGGAGACTAGGACAGAGCGATTAATTCAAGCTGCAGGAAAAGAGATTCCCCCTAAACATTAGGAAGATCTTTCACTGTCCTGAGTCCCTTCAGGGAGACAGGAGGGCATATAAATAAAGTTGTATTGTTATTATATCATTATATTACTGGTAGTAAGAGCTGTTCGGCAGTGAAATATACTGTCTTGCGGTGCAGTCTCCTTCTCGGAAGGTTTTTATGCAGTGGCTGGATGGCCATCTGTTGGGAGTGTTTGAATTATGTGTTCCTGAATGGCAGGGGGTCGGACTGAATAGCCCTTGGGGTGTCTTCTGTGATTTATGTGGACAATTTTGGATTTTGGAATTCTGGGTAAAGGATGTTCAGTCTGTACTTCTACAAGGAGCACAGCAATAGTGATAGATCAGTGGTTCCCAACCTGTGGTCCATGGACCACAGTGGTCTGCAAGAACTAAAATATGGTCCGCGGCTACACCGTTGAAATGAGAGCAACTGGTCTCTCGAAACCCTCTTATAGTACCAAAGCTTATTAAATACGTTTTTCTGTGAGCAAGCAGACAGCGACAACTGGATGGCATATGTTCTGTATCAGAAACTAGACCTGATGTGGTCTATCTAATGCAATTTCTGAATCAGCACCCCAACTAAACAAACCGAATCTGAAGTTGACCAAAAACTGATTCGTAGCCCTTTTTGGTACTAGTGTCGGAGAGTGGTCCCGGGTCAAAGTGGTAATAAAAAAGGTTAGGAACCACTGTGCTAGATCTACCAGTATCCTTTATTTTGAACAGTGTGAAAGCCTGGTTAGAAAAGGTTGTAACAGACATGGACAAACTAGGGCAGGGGGTTGGACTGGATGGCCCGTGAGGTCTCTTCCAACTCTATGATTCTATCATTAGGGCAGATGAGGCTCTTAGGAATGGTGGGAGTTGACATCCAAAACACCTGGAGGGCCCAAGTTTGCCCTTGCCTGGGTTATAACAACCAAGTAACACTTGGGAGATCTAGACTTTGGGGCTGTTTGGCTAGCTTCTTCTTCTCCCTGTGATCTTTTCCTCTGCCAAGATGAATGGAGAATGGCCTTTAGTAGGCCTGAGAAGCAGGGAAGGCGCAGAGGTGGAGGAAGTGGTAGAGGATGATAGTCCTTCCCTAGCGACAAGAACCCATCCTCCTCCTCGCCCACCTCCTCCACCCACCAACTCTCTTGACTTGTACTACAAAGTAAGCTGCCCCCTCCTCGCTTGTGCTATTTCGAGGAGACCATGGCGCAGGAGCTATATTTGAAATCCAACTGGAGGTAAACAAGACCGCAGCACGAGTGGATGGAGCACAACAGCTGCGAGAGAGAGGTGAATCGCCCCACGCGGAAGGAGAGCGGGGAGAGGCCGGGCTTGGGAAGGGAAGCCGTGCCCGGTCCACGCGAGAGAGACCACCAAGGGCGAAGAAGGGCTGCTTTCACTTCGAATTGAACCCAAACAGGGCGCCCCTTCGAACCGCCCTCCTCCTTCTTCTAGAAGAGGACCTGGGGCCACCTCACCCTTACTATTCCTTTGAAATTAAAGAGGACCTAATGTGTGGGGTGAGTTGCGTCCCGTTGCAGCCGCTTTGTGCCAAACCGCACGTTTCCTCTCCTGGGCCGGGCATTTGGGGGAGAAGACAGAGGCAAAACGGGGATTTATGGCCACTGCATTCAAGGCATGGATCCTGCCGAGGCAGCCCCCACTTTCGCCCCATCACAAACCCCTCCTTCCCTCCCAAAAGGCTATCAGCAAGTTCGGGATCTGAGCTTTTGGGCTGCGAAAAGGGCTGAAAAGGGCTTTTGGGCTGAAACGTGGAGCTTCCTCCACGTTTCAGCCCCTCCGCCGGCTTCACATCAAATGATTGGAGGTTTTGCCAACCCGCGGAACCTCTTGATCCCTAGATAAAACCGGAAAGGGGGCCAGCAAAAGCGAATAGGGACGCAATCGGAGAGGGAGGGCTGGGAGCCCCAACCTGGCGCCTTTCCCTCCACTTTCCCTGCAATTGCCTCCCAGCTCCTCGGTCAGGTCTGAGTGCAGATATGCGAGGCTGCAGCAGCAGCAGATGAAGCAGCAGCCGGTCTCCCTCTCTCCCTCTCTCCCCCTCTGCGCCTGCGATGCCCACGCAGATAGAGCCCCACGCAGCCTCCCCCGCACACGCAAGGAAGGGAGACCCTTCCTCTCCCACCACCACCACCAAAGCAGCCTCGCGTTTGGCCTTTGCAGGATGCTTGGGCATGGGCAGGCTCTCCTTTCTCCAGATGGAAGAGGAGGAGGGAAGGGGCACTACGAGATCCCCGGTGCCCCCCCCCCCAACTCTCTCTCCCTTCTTCCCACCTTGCCATTCCCTCCACACGTTCGGAAGCGAGAGCAGCCTTCGCGCTTACTTACCTTTGGCTCCTTCTTGGCCGGCGATGGGGGAAGGCAGAGGGGGGAGCGAGCCCTGAACTCCCCAGTTTGCAGAGAGCCTGCCGGGGCTTCAAAGCGATTTCATGGCCAATCGTAGCCAGAACGGGAGGGAGAGGAGGAGGAGGAGGAGGAGGAAGAGCAGGAGGAGGAGGGAAGGAGGCGGCGGAGGAGCGGGGGCGCTGGGGATCTCCTTGGCATGTCAATCCAACTTGTCTCGCTGGCTGGAAGGGAGAGAGAGAGAGGCTGCGATTTTCTTTCGGGGTAATGAACTGGGCCGTGGGAGGGGAGAGTGGGAAATGGAAAGGAGGAGGAAAATGAAGGGGGGAGGCTGAGAGAGGAATGACGTTGGTAAACCCCCAGGTTGCAAGGGAATATGATGGGCTTCCCCCTATTCCTCCTCTCCCTGGCTCTTCCTCTCTTTCTCCCCCTCTTTCCCTCTCTTTCTCTTCTCCTTCCTGCCTTTCTGTCTCTCTTTTCTCTTCCTCCTTCCCCACCGTTCTCTCTCCTCCTCTCCCACCTTCCCCCTCTATCACCCTCTTTTCCCTCCCTCCTTTCCTCTCTTCCTCTCTCTCCTTTTCTCTTCCTCTCTTCCTCTTTTCCCTCTCTTTCACCCTTTCCCTCCCCCCTTCCCTCTCTTTCACCCCTTTTCCTCCCCTCTCTCCCCCTTTCCCTCCCCCCTTCCCTCTCTTTCACCCCTTTTCCTCCCCTCTCTCCCCCTTTCTCTCTCTTTCTCTCCCTCCTTCCCTCTTTCTTTCGCCCTTTTCCCTACCTCCTTCCCTTTTCTCTCCCCCTCCCTCCCTCTTTCTCTCCCTCCTTCCCTCTTCTCCCTCTTTTCCCCCTTCCCTTCTCTCCTTCCTCTTTTTCTCCCTCTTTTTCTCCCCTCCCCCTTTCTCCCTTCTCTCTTCTCTTCTCCTCCTCCTTCCCTTTCACCCTTTCCCTCCTCCCTCCCTTTTCTTCTCTCTTTCCCTTCTCCCTTCTCTCTTTTCCCTTTTTCCCTCCCTCTTTCCCTCCTTTTCTCCCCCTCCCTCCTTTCCTCTCTCCCTCTCTTTCGCCCTTTTCCCTTCTCTCCTTCCCTCTTTTCTCCCTCTCTTTCTCTCTCCCTTTCTCTATCTTTCACTCTTTACCCTTTTCCCTTCCCTCCTTCCCTTTCTTTCTCCTCTTTCTTTCTCTCTCCCTCCTTCGCTCCCTTCTCTCTTCCTCTCCCTCCTTCCTCTCCCTCCTTCCTTTCTCCTCTTTCCCTTCCCTCCTTCTCCTCTCCCTCCCTTTCTCTCTTTCCCTCCTCTTCCCCTTCTTTCCCTTTTCCCTCCTTCTTTACCTCTCTCCCCCCTCCCTCCCTCCTTTTTTTCTTCCTCTCCCTTCTTCCCTCTTTTACCCTCTATTTTCCCTCCCTCCTTCCCTCTCTTTTCTCCCCTTCCTCCCTTTCTCTCCTCTTTCCCTCTCTTCCTCTAATCCTTCCCTCTCATTCACCCTCTTTTTCTCTCCCTCCTTCCTCCTTTTCTCTCTTTCCCTTCTTCCTTCCCTTTATCCCTCTCTTCTTCTCCCACCCCTTCTTTCTCCCTCTTTCTCTCCTTCCTCCCCTCTCTTTTTCCTCTCTTTCTCTCCCTCCTTCGCTCCCTTCTTTCTCTCTTCGTCTCCCTCCTTCCCTTTCACCCTCTTTTCCCTCCCTCCCTCCTTCCCTCCCTTTCTCTCTCTCTTTCCCTCCTTCCTTCTCTCTTTCACCCTTTTCCTTCCTTCTCTTTCCCCCTCCCTCCCTCTTTTTTTCTTCCTCTCTCTTCTTCCCTCTCTTTCACCCTTTTTTCCCCTCCCTCCTTCCCTCTCTTTTCTCCCCTTCCTCCCTCCCTCTCTCCCCTCTTCCCTCTCTTTCGCCCTTTCCCCTCCCTCCTTCCTTCTCTTTCTATCTCTCTTCCTCTGTTTCCTTCCCTCACTTTCACCCTTATTCCCCACCCTCCTTCTTTCTCTTTCTTTTTCTCTTCCTCTAATCGTTCCCTTTAATTCACCCTCTTTTTCTCTCCTCCTTCCCTCTCTTTCACCCTTATTCCCCACCCTCCTTCCTTCTCTTTCTTTTTCTCTTCCTCTAATCGTTCCCTTTAATTCACCCTCTTTTTCTCTCCTCCTTCCCTCTCTTTCACCCTTATTCCCCACCCTCCTTCCTTCTCTTTCTTTTTCTCTTCCTCTAATCGTTCCCTTTCATTCACCCTCTTTTTCTCCCCTCCTTCTCTCTCTTTCCCTTCAACTGAGAGAGAGCCCAGCCGGCATGGAGGATGAAGCCGACCGGGTGTGCGCGCCGGTGTGTGCACCCAACTGCAGCAGAGGAGCCCCTTCGCGCGCTCACACACGCACACGGGCAAAAACAAGCCAAGCCTCGCAGCCTCTCCAGCCAAACCCCACGTCACCCTATCAGCTGGGAGCAAGAGCCGCAACCCAATGACAAGCCCCGCAGATTGGTCAGATGGCGGGGAAGCCGCGTGGGAGGGAGGGAGGGAGACACGCCAGGGGGGATGGAGTGGGAGCCCACGGCACGAGCCCAGCTGGAGCCTCCCCCACCTGAAAGGCCTGAAGCCTGAAGGTCATCTTAGGCTTAATCTTTGTGTGAGGAAAACAAAATGTGTGCACATTGAACCAGCAGAAAGCAGACTTGAGCATCCCTAATCCCAGGCCCGGGCAAAGTTAGGCCCTCCAGGTGTTTTGGACTTCAACTCCCACCATTCCTAACAGCCTCAGGCTTAAGCGGCTGAGGGGCAAAAGGAAAAGCCTGAGGCTGTTAGGAATGGTGGGAATTGAAGTCCAAAACACCTGGAGGGCCCAACTTTGCCCAGGCCTGCAATAAGGGATGCCCAACCTGTCTGAAACATGGCTCCTTGGACTTTGCGGCCTTGCTTGTGCTGGTTTGGGAACCCAACAAAACCTGCGCTGCAAACACTGCACAGGCTTGCACACAAACACAACCCAGATATTTCGCTGGGTTTTGCCAAGGACATCTGAGGGAAAAGATTAAATATAGCTACTGAAAACTGCTTAGGGCAGAAAGCAGCGTTGGCTTTTTTTTCCTGCCCAGGGAATCCATTGGAAGCCGCCCGAAATGCCAGTGGCGTGGCAGCAAAGAGAGAGAGAGGCAGAGAGTCAATCCACCCAGTTATCTTTCCTAACCAAAGTCAAATAACTACTTGGGAGGCGGCAGGGAATCATTTGGAGGCTAAAAATACAGACCCTCCGCCTCACAAATTGCTGCTTGACTTCAGTGACAAATGACCAGCCTTGGAACTGTGGGTTCCATCAGCCTGGAGGAGAATGATAGCTTTTTGGAAATTTTCAAACCGAGACTGGCACAGATGTTTCCCTGCCTATAATTGCAGCTATACTTATCAGGGGCGCATGTGGGAAAGTCAAGATGCTGGCAGAAGGTCTGCTAGTCAGCATGGGCTTTGCCTTCTTGGAAGGCTATATCCAGGCCCCAGCTACAATTCTCATCACCCCAGCCAGTACAGGCAGTGATAATTGAGGATGATGGTTAATTCCTGTCATGAAACAATCAGGACCAGCTAACACTTCCCAACAAAGGATTCCCCCAGGCAGGAAGCAGCCAGGGTTGAAGCTGCAAGGCCATTCAATGCTAATTAAGATGGTCTATTGCAACATTCACACCTGCCTCAAGCAGGCAAGAGTTCTTTCTCCCACCCTGGACATTCCATAGATCTATAAACCTCACTTGCCTAGTTTCCAACAGACCTCACAACCTCTGAGGATGGCCAATTGCAACATTCACACTTGCGTCAAGCAGACTATTAGGTTTTATCCCTGGACTGCACAAGCCTCCAGTCCTCAATGAGTAGATAGACTTAGATATAGGATTAGAGTGAGGGATTCCTATGCGTTCTTTTCCCAAAAGGGGCTTTGTCTTTACTCTTTTTGCTTGCCACTATCTCCTTCCCCCTTTGAAGATGTAGCAATGGAATCTCTATGAGGGATGAGGGATGTTCTTTAAAGGTATTTTCATTGCCCTGGGTTTTAGCCATATGGTTATTCCATTGCTCTCTCTGCCTTTGTCTCTTTTCCAGTGAGGACATACTTTGCCTTTCTCCAGGCAAAATGTAGCTGCATGGATACTTTTGATATTTTATCCTTTTACCTTCCTTGGAAGATGATCTTAGAAGGCTAGTTAGCTCCAAGACCCTTTTCTATCGAGAATGGATTTCTTCTTACTTCAGTAAATATTTTGAACCTGAAGTTGTGACTTTTCAATCCTGTGCCATCCTGTTGAATGGAAGCTAATCCTGACTCACCACATGTAAGTCTTGTCCTGGCATTGAATGTTTGTCGTATATATGCTGTGCACCGCCCTGAGTCCCCTTCAAGGTGAGAAGAGCAGAATATAAATGTTTTAAATAAATAAATAAATAAATATGTTTCTGCTGGTTGTGAAGTTTGCTTCTAGCGCTCTGCTATATTTATGGTGGAATCATCCCAAGTGAGGGTTATTTTTTGAGCGTAACAACTCTGATTCCCAACACAGACAAGAGTTCTTTCTTCCACCCTGGACATTCCACAGAAATAAAAAACTCACTTGCCTAGTTTCCAACAGACCTCACAACCTCTGAGGATGCCTGCCATGGATGTGGGCAAAATGTCAGGAGAGAATGCTTCTGGGACATGGCCATACAACCCAGAAAATTCACAGCAATCCAATGGTGAGTGTAGTCTAGAAGCCATAATGTTAAGGAGAGTTGCAAGCTGGCATTTCATATACCATTCCTTGGCACTGGCCACTGAAATGATCAGAACCTGAGCAAGGGTGCCACTATTTTACTTTGGGCTGGTTTCACAGTTTCAGCTTTAAAATAAAAATTCTTCTGTCCCCACCTCCTGCTTCACATCATATTTTTAGAACATTGTAAACAACATCAGTTGAGCTTTAGTTCTCAGCTGATGCATCAAGATTCATACCACATGCACACAGAAGCAAGTCCACCACAGATGCCTTTACAGTTGACAATAACTTAAGGCAGACACAGCTATTGGGGTACACAGATGTTTCAATTCAGTGCATCTCCGCCACAGCTCAGTACATCAATCCGCGTAAAATAGAGTTACATGGATTTCTCTTTCCTTCTCACTATCCCATATGGTTGCTAAACTGCTCTTGAATGTGCTGTATCCCCTTTGGTACGGTGCTTTTGTGAACTGATTTCCCTCCTCTGAACATCTGTGTAGGCAAATGGCTTGGCACTGAAGCATTTGAAAGTGGTTCTAAAAGAAGGATCCCATCCTGACTGATTAGTTTTGTCAGTATTTACAAAATAGGTCTATGTGACCATGCCCCTGTGCACAATGATCAATCTAGATCACGGAAATCAGAAATACACACTCCAGTGGCATGGTGGAGTCAGGGCGCCATAGGATCCAGGGTCCAAGGTATTTATAGAAGTAACAGCTGGAAAAAAATCATTCAGATATAGCAACCAAGAGAAAAATGAAAGTCTTGACACCTTTCATTATTTTGCCCTATGAAATTTTTCTTCAGTCCCCAATTTTTTAGCATAGCAGAGAAGGATACATTGAAAAACATTCAAGTCAATAACTCTAATATTTGTTGTGATAATAATAATAATAATATACTTTACATTCCTTTTATCCTTTCGAGTGGAATATACATAAGTATATAATAGTAATAATAATATATTTATATTCAACTCAGATAATATAAATAAATATATTATACAACTGACGGAGACAGACAGTACATAAACAGAGGCAACTCTTTTCATCTCTGGCATCCAGCTATGCTCGACTTGGCTATGGGGAGGTGCTGTTGTTTCATTCTCCACGCCAAGGAGCCTCTCATCCATGGATTCCTTTCCTGATTGGATTTTTGCTGGCATGTTTTTCAGGGCACCTTTTACCTCCCCACCAAAAGCGGTACCTATTTATCTATTTACATTGTGTTTTCGAACTGCTCAGTGAGCAGAAACTGGGCTGACAGCGGGAACTCACACCGACCCTGACTTGAACTGTCAACCTTCCAGTTGGCAGGATCTTCTATAGCAGGCAGTTTAAACCACTGTGCTAGCCCGGTCCATGGTAATCTCGCCAGCTCCCTTTCTTGGGTGCCTACACTTAATTCTGAATGGTCAACTAAACATTCAAGTTACTGTGATGTTAGAAAATGTGGAAGCTGAAGGGAAGTTTTCATTCAGAATTCTTATTGGGGTTGATGTCCTCCTTTCCCCACCATCAGCATAGCTATTCTCCTGATGTCATCTACTACTTACTTCAAATTCCCTGGTCGTCTCTGATCTTAGTTGTAATCCACATAGTATCTAAAGAAGAAACTGAGATTTCTGTTTCACTACATAAATATAGCACTTTGATCCCATTTTTACTACAATGGTGACATTTTAAAGAATCTTGAAATTTGTAGTTGTGTGAGATATTGAGGTTTCTCTGCTCTACTGCGTTCCCAGACTACCAGTCCCAGGATTGCTCTGTTAGATGCTGCCATGACAGTAAAAGTGGGATCAAAGTGTTATAATTCTATACTGTGAAAGACTCCTGACTGTCTCACTAGCAATGTCTACAGTTAGCCCTTAAGGCAGTGGTTCTCAACCTGTGGATCCCCAGATGCTTTGGCCTTCAGTTCCCAGAAATCCTAACAGCTGGTAAACTGGCTGGGATTTCTGGGAGCTGTAGGCTAAAACACCCGGGGCCCACAGATTGAGAAGCACTGCTTATGGTATCCAAAGCTGGATAGTTTCAGAACAATTCGAATGTTATTACATGACAGGCTGACGACAACATACTGAGGCTGAGAAACAACTGTCCCACACTGCATTTTTACAGAATCTTCTCCAAAGATGATGTCGATGATGATGATGATGATGATGATTATTATTATTATTTAATTTTTATTTCGAACATTTTTACCCTGCCCTTCTCAACCCCTAGGGGGACTCAGGGCGGCTTCCAATTGGCGATAATTCAATGCCGCATCATAAAATACAAAATAGCAAATATAACAATTAAAAACATGAACATTAATAAATAAAGATTAAAAAGTATACTTACAATCCATTTAGCTATTGCCAGTCTGGTGGCTATTTATCTAGCCATATATTAGTGATTACTCCACTTAACTTATCCAAATCCACTTCCAAGACATAGTCAAACATTATCAATTGTCCTTTAACCTAATTGCCTGAAGGCAATTATATAATGATGATAATAATCTTTATTTATACCCCGCCACCATCTCACCAAAGGGGACTTAGGGCGGAAAATAAAAATCAGTTGTCTTAAGGTGCTGCCCATTTCTTTTTCTTTTCTTTTATTCTCTCTCCCTTCCTTCCTCCTTTTTATGCCACAAGAGACTAACATGGCTCCTTCTTTGAAAACTACCTGAAAAGGTTTGTTACTGTGGATCAACACAACATCTTACATTTGTGATCTCTCCACAGAGAGGTGACTATGGAGACTGTCATGGAGCCATGTCCTCTTTCCCCTCACTACACCACTGGTGCACTCCTCAAAGCAGAAAATGTATCTTTGTGGCCTCCCACAGCCAATTCCCCTGAAGACTGGAGTTCAAAGCTTTGTAGCTGCCCAGAGAGACCACTCAAAGAGATGTTTGTTTTGTTTCCAGTGTCCTAGTGGATTAGAGTGGCATCCATGGGGATGGTAGTTGAAGAAAATAAGAGAACAAGTCCCTACCCCAAAGCCTAGAATCTATAAACTGGACATGAAAAGATGCATAAGGAGAGGGAAGAAGCAGCAGGTGAAGCAAATGGAGAGAATATGCATGAAATGAAGTGTGATGGGATTAGGGGGTGTATAATATACACGAGGTGGCTTTTGATCCATCTTGCAGGGAAGGTGGGGTATAGTAAAAGTTTCCCCTTGATATTAAGTCTAATTGTGTCTGACTCTGGGGGGTGGTGCTCATCTCAATTTCTAAGTCGAAGATCCAGCATTGTCCATAGATGCCTCCAAGGTCATGTGGCCAGCATGACTGCTTGGAGCACTGTTACCTTCCTGCCGAAGTGGTACCTATTGATCTACTCACATTTGCATGTTTTCGAACTGCTAGGTTGGCAGAAGATGGAGCTAACAGCAGGAGCTCACCCCGCTCCACGGATTTGAACCACCAACCTTTTGGTCAGCAAGTTCAGCAGCTCAGCGGTTCAACCCGCTCATCCACTGGGGGCTCCTGGAGTATAAATGAAACAAATAAATACAAGCAAGTACTTATAATTTAATTATATCCTGCTTTTTCCTCAACATTAGGACACAAGATGGTTCATGATTAAAATCTGATACAATGAAAACTACAATAAGTCATAATGTTGAAACATTGTATTGTCTTTAAACTATAGCAAGATTAAAAACAATTTAAAATGAGATGGGGGAGTATGGAGCAATAAAGAAGTTGTCAAAATCCCATTTGAATAAAAAGATCTTTCAGTTGCACACCTGGTTTAGGTTTAGTTGCTGTATAGCAGCCCATTCCCATCTGGCACCTGCCCAGATATATTGGATTGTCTAACACATCTGAAGGGCCAGGCTATACTGCACCCTTTGAACACAGGAATTATGTGAAAACTTAATGGAAAAGGTGTGATTGGAGGCTCTTAAAGGGAAGAAGGCAAATGGCATCACACAGATGTTGCAAGAGACACATCTAAGCATAAGGGAGGGGGAAGCATGGGAGAAAAGGTAGCATTGTCGAAAGGACAATACTCCATTTTCAAAGGGAGAAGGAAACCCCTACATGATCTGTATGATAATTCAATATTCTCATACAGAGGAAGCAGGAGACTGTATGAGAGTTCGATATTGTTCCTATCACCTCATTCTGAAATCTGTTGGGAATGCTTTATCTGGATATCTTGCATTGAGCGAGTTAAACTAGATGTCCCACGAGGCTTCTTCCAATTTTATGATTCTGTTATTTTATCAGTCATTCCCAGGAGCCCCGGTGGTGCAATGGGTTAAACCCTTGTCCCAACAGGATGGAAGACCGACAGGTCGGAGGTTTTGAATTCAGGTAGAGCGCGGATGAGCTCCCTCTGTTAGCTCCAGCTTCCCATGCAGGGACATGAGAGAAGCCTCCCACAAGGATTGTAAAACATCAAAACATCCGGGCATTCTCTGGGCAACATCATTGCAGACAGTCAATTCTCTCATACCAGAAGCGACTTGGAGTTTCTCAAGTCACTCCTGACATGAAAAGAAGTAATTCCCATTGAAAATCATACAGACTTTAGTATATGTAACATGTCAATTTGCATAGAATAAGTTCCAAACTGCAAAGACTTTCATCAGTGCAGGAGGCTTGGCACATTTTTTAATATTCTTCCCATCCTTATTGTTTTATGAAATATTTTGAACCTTATCAATCTTCCACAAGTTACAAC